TTTGTGATTTCTTAATTTCTTTTAAAAATTATAATTTTATTTAGATAGGTTTTAGTCATTTATCATAATTTCTAGCTAAAGATAAAAATGTGATTAACAATTTCAGTGGAATTATTGTAAATTTACGGTAATTAGTTTGGTTTTACTTTTTAATATTATTTTTAAGTAAATATTTAAAAACTTTAAGTTTCTATCGCCAAAAGTTTTAGTACTTTCCTTTGTTTTTTTTTTTTTTGTTTACTATTTTACATTAAAAATTAAATTTTTCAAAAATTAAAAAAAAAAGTAAACGTCCGTACAAGTCCGGAGTTTTAAAGGAAATAGTTAATGCAGGTACTTTGCGTCAGTTATATCTAATGTTTTTCTTAATCAATTAATTTTAAAAATAATTATAAACAAGCCTGTGAAGAATTTGAAATCCTTTTAAGTGAAAAAAATTTAAATTTTTAAGTTAATTATTGTATGTACGTAGATATTAATCACACTAAATTGTATTTTCATGCACAGACACAATTTGTTTCCAAAACATGCTTTTAATAAGTAGTAGTAATATAAGCATATAACACACCACAAATTAATTTTATTCTAAATGTAATATTTATATATAAATATGTCATATATTTGCGCGAGGGTTAAACATTTTATTGACATTAATGTATTAATTGTACGTTTTTTTTATTTAAAGATTGTTTGTATGTAATATTTGAAAAATTTCTAAAAATAGTAGCATTAAACAATAATATTTATATGTAAATATGTAAAAATTTGGGCGCTAATCCTTCACATCGCACAACGGTTGGATTTCCATTGCCAATTCCTGTTTGCTGGATTCTTCACGTATACATATCGCAACGCCAACTTATCCACGGGGATTGCTTGTGCCAACGACGACCAAAACGTTTGACGAATGTGCGCTTGTTTGTCTACATAATGTCTAGCTAGAACTGCCTGCTGCTTTTTTCACTGTCGCCTCGCAGACACGACAACAAACATTCTTACCAAGCTGACAGGAATAATAGCGCGACGCACAGTTCAACACCAAACAGTATCCGCACATCGAATCCAATAGAAAGCTGTTAGATACGAAAGCAAAACAAAATTATTAGATACATGTAATACACCAATATGTGCACACCGGCTGTTGGCTTGCACACGCGCCCAGAGTAAGCCATGGAGCATGTGTGTGTGGTGTGCTTGCTCGCAGCGTATGCTCTTACAGATGACAATGAGTATAATTGAATGAATGGCCAACGCGTGCCACTTTACCATGGTAAAATATGTTGCCTCTGCTATGGATAAATGTATATAGCATGTGTATGCATAGATAAATGCGAAAAAACGTAACACAATTTTATTTAAATTGAACAAAAAATTATATAAATAAAAAATAAAGCACGAGGTTGTACGAATTTTATTGGAAAAATCACAAAAAGTAAGTATTTCGTATTTATTTACCACTGACAGTCTTTAAAATATGCAATTTGCGCGTTAACATGGTCGCAGTCAATATACGCAGTCGACGTCGGCGCAGCACAAATTGCTCGGTGGATGGTTAAACTGAATTTAATCGTTTGGTACTAGGCGCCCATAACCAGCAAGTAGGCAACTCGCTGCTTTTTCGCTGCCGCAAATTTGCGAGCAGCGCAGCCTGCATGTATGTGCGAGCGTGTGTGTGCAGCAGAGCACACGCTAGGGTGGTCGGACAGGTTTTTTCTCCGGAATAAAATCTTTAAAAAATTTGCATATAAAAAATTTTGTTTTTTAATAAGAAAGGAACATTTTTAAATAAAATACATATTATTTTAAATACTAAAAAATATTTATTTTATATATAAATTTTTTTCAGTTTAAAATTCCTGTAAGCAATTGGTAATTGTTTGTAAAAAAGTGAAATACGCAGCTTCTGTCTCTTATACACATCTAGATGTGTATAAGAGACAGAAGCTGCGTATTTCACTTTTTTACAAACAATTACCAATTGCTTACAGGAATTTTAAACTGAAAAAAATTTATATATAAAATAAATATTTTTTAGTATTTAAAATAATATGTATTTTATTTAAAAATGTTCCTTTCTTATTAAAAAACAAAATTTTTTATATGCAAATTTTTTAAAGATTTTATTCCGGAGAAAAAACCTGTCCGACCACCCTAGCGTGTGCTCTGCTGCACACACACGCTCGCACATACATGCAGGCT